AGTTTAGTTTTGCTGCATGTCAATGTGTTTTTCCTCCTTCAGAGTACAGTAGCAGTTGTCAAACTGTGGGGTGCACACCTTTCAAGGGTGTGTGGGATGAATCAATGCAAAAAAAAAAACATATACAAACCTGTAAACCAGTTTGCCACAACCAAACCAGTATTACATGAGTACTAGGAGATATCATTAGTTAATACTTGTCATCTTTTGTAAAATCTATAATCTATAAATGTAATGCAACACTATGTAATGCTAACAAAAAAAAACCCTAAATCAAACCCTTTGCTCTGAGGCTTATTATATTATTTGTATGGCTTTTGTTGAGGAGTTGAAGATAGTTCATAGATACCTGTACACCATTGCCATGATTCCAAAGTGAAGCAACAACCTTTGCAATTTGCAACTTTCAAACAATGTGCAGGAGTGGAACAAGCAGGCAGATACTTTGAAAGAGCACATTGGCTTCACTCAGAGCAATCTCAATAATTTCTCTCACACCAGCGTCTTCTCCTCCACTTCTGTGCTCTCTGGCTTCTATTATTCAAAAGCTCTTACTTTTCATGGTTCTATGCAGCTGAATAAGTGCTGTTGATTGCCAACGGTCTGATCTTCAGCCTGAGACAACCCACCCATTGCAGCCTCTTTAAGCTGATTAGAATGCCTCCATATAGTTACAGCTGAGTCTGTTACATTTGAGCTAACTGAGATTCCCAGAATTACCCTGTGTGAGGGATTATTCACAAGATATTTTTAGTAAACAACAACCATAATCTTCCCCTGTTTACTCCAGATTTTGTGCCTATAAAGGTGAACATAATGCTTAACTGTGCAGTGTATACAGGTCAGTCTATTACTGTCATGGCCTATACTGTAAATACAGAGACCTTAAAAGACAGCCTTCATTGTGGACTGCCATGAAAATACCAATGATTAACAGTAATAAATGTTTTAATTTAAGTGTATTGTTGGGATCTGCATTATCTGAAATTTGCATTATCTGAAACTTCAGATTGTTCAGAATTCTACTTTACAAGGTACCAGAATAAAGCTGCATGCCCAAAGGAGGAACTGCTTGGAGTTAAGAAGCATCTTAAAAACGAAGGAGAGTGGAGATTGATGAGAACTCAGCACGGGAATATTAACTGTAATTACATGCAGAAAAATATCTTAATGTATAGTAGACATTAATTATAATGCACAGCAAATATTTCACATTTGCTTAAAAATATATTCCATGAAGCCAAATACAAAATCAGCTTTAGTCAATTTAAAGCATTGAGATAAAAGCCATTCATTTTTTCTTGTGATATCGTAACACAGGCTGCCAGTCCTTCATTCAAAACATTATGCATTTAGTTTTTGTTCCACTACTGAAGCTTTGTGTCTCTCACATCACCAAAGTTTGAACAAAAAACAGTTAAACTGGTGAGATGAGTCTGGTGCAAATCCATGCTCATATTAAACATCAGATTAGAAATATGTCATGTGTGTAATTGAGCAGGAGGTTGGTTTGTTTTGCTGGAGTAATGGGGCCAACTATATTGCACCTGTCAAGTGAAGTCTTGTGCTAATGTGGATCACCAGTGTTGACAGATTTGTAAGTGGAAATGGACATTTATTTTTAGAATGGCCAATTGGATAGTTCATAAGACCAACCACCTGAAGATGGAATGCAAAAATCTAAGACACCTGCTAATAAACCATCATCATAATAAGTAAACTTCACTGCATGATTCCCTCAGCTGACATTAAACGCTTAGCTAGCATCTTAATTCTAAGAAGTTTCCTCATTGATAATATTTAAATCGGTGTTTCAATAAGTTACAGTTGATAAAAGTTTGTATTAAACCCCTAAAGAAAAGTACAGAGGATACCATCCCTTATAATTTGCTACTAAAATCTAAAAGTACTTTTCCCCCCTTTCGGCATGCATTGCAGAACAGAGAAGAAGACAAAATAAGAAGAATTTGACAAATGAGACTGAGACTTCAAGTCTTGAAATATGCACAGTCCATCCTCATTAAGAAATATGGCATATTGTAAATGTATTTGTTCCTACATCGTATAAAAAAGAGGAAAAATGACATGTAAGAAGTTTATCCATTCATTTTCAATAAAGGTTCAGGCCAGTTCAAGATAACTGTGAAGAAGAATCTAGCACCTAGCAGACAGCAGTCTGCCAAACCTTGCAGACAGTGCAGGTAAAATGGCACCCTTAATGGCATGCCATTCTATTGCACAAAAAACAGACATACTTGCATTATTTTGAAATGGCGATCAACCTTGGCATCATGACTAGGAAACCAGAGCATATGACAAAAACATGACCACAGAGGGAACACATACACTCTGCACAGGAGGGATCTCAGTCCCAAATTGAACTCAGGACCCAAATAGGAGAATGGGAATACCACGTCTTTTTGGAATTTTGTGAATTTTATATTAAATACCAAGCTGTAATAAGCATATGAATATGTCTCCTAGTTCAATTAAGTTGTTAACAATATTATTTTTCTTAAACTTTTCAGCTAAATGCATTATCATGAATCTGTGATTAGTAGATATGGATAACTTGAAGCCAATGTGGTGGGTTAACTCTGTGAAAGTTGCATTGTGGGAAACTGTTTTCTTACAAAACAGGAAAAGATAGTCACTTGTGGATAGATTGTAACTGATAACATGCTGAAAGGTGAAGGTAACATCTACACAGGTCTTCCTATAATATTGTGTGTTTGAAACGTATTCATTATTTAAAATAAATGATTTACTTTGTGAAAAACATACAGCATTTTGCAGTTAGAGGCTGTCATTAGTACTGAATCAACAGCATTTCTATTCCTGCACTACATCTGGATATCTTTACATTTCTGCTTTGATATATACAATAACCTGACATAAAATATGCTTTTTAAGATTGAACCCAGTTTTGATATCTTTATTATGTGAAACTGATTCATTAGAAAGCACATCCATATGGGATGCAAAATACTGTTGGTAGCTAACTAGTAAGAAACATAATAACTGTGACAATTGAGGAAGTGTTAAACTGTGTTTCTTCCCCATAGCCATTATGCTTTCTTCTGAATCACATCCTGGTTTTGTCCTGATACCATATCTCCATAACAACTATGTTTCTATAAATGTCATCATCACATTGCCAATGAATAACATATGGCAGTTTTTAAAATTATATAACTTGGACTTTCTATCCATGCATTTCTCAAACACAAACGTGGGTAATGAAAGAATTCATTTTATAGTTAAGCATTTGTCCTTCAAGTGTCCTCAATGAACTAGCTTGTTGCTAGGAAATTTCATTACGCAGAAGAACTGTCCACCAAATTCTAAATCACATTTTAACACAAGGTGATTCATGTTTGTGATTAAGATATGTAGGCAAAATAACTTTAAAAGATATTTTTTAAGTTGTCAGACACTTCAATTGTAAAATGTCCTTCATTTAAAGATGTGTGAGTACCTTCTCAATGAAACTGGAAAATGTAGTTTTTACCTGTTCAACCACTTTAAAAAGTGAAGTAGTCTTTCCTCTTCCTTCAAAGTTTACACATTCTTTTACTGCCTAATTAAGGATAGTTTTGCAATGCACACTGTTCAAGGTTATGGTACATTTTAAGAATAAGCAGTTGCTATGAAAGTTGATAGTTGATAGATTCATATACTTCTTTTTCAGTGATCAGACCCACTATATGCCCCACTGACGATTTCTATGAATAAAGCTGGCTGTGTCTGCAACTTCAAATTTACATACAATAAGCAAAACAGAATTAGAAATGCAGACTGTTCTATCTACACTTTTCAGCGCTGTAAAACGCTGAATACATTAATATTTATATTGCCGTTATTCAATTACATAGTTCTTTAAAGAAACACCTTTCAATGTTATGGTATTTTTTAGAAAGAAATTACTGCAATGTCATCCTGATTATACACACCGTTTACCAGTCCTGTTAGATTTAGTTGGTTTTCATGTATTTCAAAATTAAAATACATGTTACTTTATTTTTTGACTATGTACTGTATGATGCTAAACACGTATTTTTTGTGTTTTCGAGAAAGCAAATCCCTTAGAGGGTTTATGATAGAAACAAAGAATTGCTGAACATACATACAGTAGTAGAATTAATTTGACAATTGAGCTTTTTCACAGATGAGTGCGCTGTCTCGTTCGCAACACTATGTATAGAAATCTTTATTGTTAAAGGTTACAAGGTATACTTCTGCACTATTGCATTATACATTAATCTAGTCCACGCTTGATGTGGATGATACACGTTTACTAATGTATCGGTTGCTATGGCTACGAAGGGAATGCGCCTGCAGTGTTGGATTATAAATTCCCCTGACCCAGCAACCGGGCTCCGCAGCTCTCTGTCAGAGTGACAGCTCAAACAGACTGCACCAAATTCCAGCCAATCAAGTTTGAGAACGGCGATGCCATGTGCTTTATTCACAAATTCAGTTTTTTTTCCTTAATTCAAGTTTAGAGTTTAGTGCGTAGGCATGTAGTATGTAGGATCAGCCGCTTATTAGTGACACATTTCTGGAGGCGCACTAATATAGTCCATCTATAGTCTTTCTATAGCCCTTCTTTTTCACAATTGGTTCCAAGAAAAAAGATAATTAAACATTGACGCATTTGGTCGGCTTTGTCACGAACTAGGAGCTGCTTTCAGAAAACAGAAAAAAGAATTGACTGAAAAATCGACTTTATCAAATGCTTTTATTAGATATAATTGTGGAGTTTCACAAATTCACCGTAGATAGACTAAACTACTACATTAGAATGATTATATATAACGCTGTGAAAATCATGTGGATCGCAGGGTGGCGATTGCTGAAATAATACTTGGATTAATATTAGTGGTTTTGTGAATTGCACGTTCCTCAATTAACGAATGTTGTTATTATTATTGTAATTGTATTTACCGTCTATTGTCTTGTCTGCTGTTCTGTATATACTGTACTGCACCTGAGAGACTAATGAGAAACACTTTCATTATACTATGCACCTGTGTACTGTAAGTATAGTGACAAATGGTTGAATTGAATTGAAATTATAAGTTTATTCATTGAGAGTTCTGTCAAGATCTGTAGGTCTTATAATAATAATAATAATAATAATAATAATAATAATAAATAGGACTATCAGGTAAGCTGGCTGAGCTACAGTACTACTGTAGGTTGTTTTCAGCACCAGGACCAGCGACTGCAAGTGAAGCACCCTGACAAATTCCAAGGACAGCCCTGACGAGCTCTTAAATTCCTTGGGTCTTCTTTCATTTAAGATGTCTTTTACTGGTCAGGTGTATGTTGGTGTTTTTGTTGAATGGATCATAGGTCACACAAATCTACAGCACAAGAATATATCTATGTAAACATGGATCTCTTTGGGAGATGACGTGACCGAGAAAGGTTTCGTTTAAAAATGTTGCTGATTTCTAATTCATTTACTAGGGAAAAGAAGCAACATGCAAATTGAAAATATACGATGTTAGAATTTCTATGAGGATTAGCCGAATCGCTATTTTTTAAGTCTTGGGCAGAACAAATTAGAACACTGAGGAGCAAAAAAAGATAGATTTCAGTTGATTTAATTAAGGGATTTGATCTTTAAAAAGACGATGAACCACTGCTTTCTTGAACAGCTACAAATTGACATATTTACAATAATACTAGTTTCGTTCCAGTGTTTGGATAAAAGATCACAGATTAGGCTTATTTTATTCATCAAACACATACATCTTATATGTGTGATTATTTAATCATAGCAGAATAATTAAACATTATAAATACAAAAGTACGTTAATAAACTTAATAAACAACAGATAATCCGCCTCTTTAAGGCTAAATATAATTAACGAGTTTAAATCTAATGTGTCTTGAACGTCATTGTTATATCTAAACACCGATCTTAGAAAATCGGTATTCCACACATAGACAAATCTGTTAAAGTGTGAGGTGTACTGCCAGATCTGTCATTAATAAATAGTGCACAATGACAAGGATACAGTTGCAGCATCCACATTCATGAAACTCACTTGTACATACACTCTAAATCATTTTGAATTTTTTAACAAAGTAAAAAATAAAATAAGAATTCAATATCATGGAACCAGATGTCATTAGTATTTATATATATATTTTTCTTAAATATACAATATAAAACAATACGTTTTATACTTTAACAATATTGGCACATAGGACGGTATAGTAACATTTCTTTGTAAAATTGTACATTCAAATAGCATGAGGTTCAACATAGTAATGTGCAATATGTCCGTTAAAGGCCAGCACCTTGGATAGCTCCATCTCCAACCCCAAACTTTAATACTGCTATTTCTCTTCCGTCTTCCTTTACAATTAAAATATTTATATAAATAAATTATCTAAACATTGACATACTAGCTAACATTTTATTTGCTCCACTGCAGCTCTGCATCACCACCCATTTTAAAGCCACAATGAAGGTACAATTGGAATACACATTAGGCATGCATTTATTTACTCGTAACTGCCCCTTAATCTAACCCCAGTGTACTGTGATTCACAGTAGCAAGGGGGTATTTATATTACACTGATTTACAACACGAAACATCTCTTGTCAGCAAAGGGATATCCCAGTCTCTTTTGATTCGAAGGCTCCAGTACACATTACCTGTTCGCTTTCACAGAATCTAGACCCTAAAACCAGCCTCCCGTTTCATGGGTGCAGCAGAATATTTCTCCTACTCTAACATTTGTTCTATACTTAGCGATCCAGATTGATAGTCCACTGTCCATTTGTTTCTCTAGTTCCTGCTTCGTTTTTCAGGTCCTGGAATACCTGAGTAAAGAAGTGTGGATCGGAATTGATCTGCAGCATTTTGGCACTCATTTTATCAATGACCTGCAGACATCTCTCCCAGAAGACCTCCTTGTTGGTCTCAACTAGAAAGGGTTTTAGAGGGTAAGATATCTCGTTACCCATGTACGAATAAGCCAAGTAGAGGCAGGTCAGGAAGGTGGCTTGAAGTTCATATTCACTGCTTATGTCGTCGCTCACGGCTTCTCTGCAAAGCAAGTAGACAAACACCAGGTTAGCGGGTGTGATGAAGCCTTGATCCTGCCATCCCTGAAGCAGGAGGGATCGGTCCACATTTCGGAACCACAGGATGATCTCGTTGGGGCTCAGCTCCTTGAGTTTAAAGCATCTCCTGCACATGAAATCGCCGAGGCAACGCAATAGCTCCCCTGTAGATGCCTGAACAATCACGCGTCTTGGGGAGATGAGGGAGCGATTGCTAGGCTGCTTCTGAACCGATATGAGCTGCTTTCCATTCTGTGAGACGTTTTGGGTTTGACTGGGATGTAGGCTCTGGTTGGGTACAGTGGGTACCGGTACCGCGAGGGGTCCAGACTTCTGGTCCCGATGTGATCCTTTCCGATCCGAGCCCGGCTGCTGCGATTTTTTCAGGTTTTCGTTATTTAGCTTTTCGACCGGGTTGTTGTTAGCCTGCGACGCTGGGGGGTTCGGATTAACTTTCTTAGCATTCTTTTTCTTAGCCGAGGCGGCCACCAGCCTTTTCCATGTAAGAGCCGAAATCAAAACTGAGTGTCTCTTCAGGCTCTTCTCCGTTTTGCCATTTTTGCTGTTAGGAATAGCCGCGTATCCTCCCACTGAGTCAGACTTCTCGTCGAGAATGCCACCTTTTCCTGATGCCGGAGATAAAGAGAGGACCGTTCCCATTTTTTTTTGTGATCAACCAACACCCTGTGGCCTTGATGTACGCTGTTTCTTGCCTTGCTTACTCCGACGTCTGTCACCCGACACAAATAAAATAGCTTTAAAGTCAGAGCCTCAGATTCAATTCCATTGATAATTAATTAGTCCACTGGATAGACAGTGGGGAGAGGCTGCGGGAAATCGGATGGAAGGCGCAGGCTGAGATTCCAGCAAGAGATGTGAGGCTCACAGCCACTCCTTCTGCAGCAACCCGCTGAACCCGCAGCTTCAGTCAGTGAGAGGAATGGGCTGGACTGAAAGATTCGTAGCCAGGCAAAAACAATCTGGATCAACCTGCAAACCGGGATAAGCCGCTCTGGTCTGATGAGTCAGCCAACCTGAAGACGATGCTTCAAGAATGACAGCCGCCTGTGCCAATCGCAAACAGCATTTTCCACGCCATATCGTAATTTTACGGCAAGCAATTTATAGCATGCAACCGAATACAGCGTTCTATTTTCACGAACTCTTCGTGTTTTTAGTACACGTTGCTAGTTGTCTCGCAGAACGATCTAAGTTTGCCACGTTCTCTGCTCGTATTGTTTAAACACGGATTTGTAGCTATGACCCGTTTTTATTATTCAGTATAGAACCATAACTGTTGTACAAACATTAAAAAAATCAACAGTTACCCTAACTACGACAACTGACGCAGCAGAAAGCTATTGATGTAAACTGATTATTCTTTTATTTTTCTTCAAAACTGCAACGTTTCAGAACTCTCGAATCGTATTCTACGTGTTCTATTATGTGTATTAGAACTCCGGCGAAAAAACATGAATACGCAATAAAGGTTATGTTTTTCGAACAGAAACAAAGACAATCAAACTGGCCGGAAGTGTTCCGTGAAGTACGATTCTTACGGTTTTATAATATTCTGACGTTCGTCTAAAAAGACATGCCAATAGTGGTTCAATAAACCAAATAAACAAAAACATTAAAAATTCAACAAATGTTTTTGGTTCCAACACACCTGTATTGTATTTGTAATGCTCTCAGTGTGGTAGCGGGGTTTCTGATATGTGAAACTTGGACAGTAATGACTATGTCTACAAGAAAACCATAGTGTACATTTCTTTCAAAGAGCCTCCAGGACGAATTGCAACAAAATAAACTACATAAAATTAGAGGAAAATTTAAATAAATTGCCTAACTTCATTGGTATAACTAATTTAAAGCCAGAAAAGTGTGTTTTTTTCACCAAAAAGGGCACAATTATGAAAGTTTAAAGGTTGTACTGTACGTACAGAAGACTGTATTAATTTCAACAGCACAGTAAATCAACAGCAAGAAGTAAACGTAAAAAACACTAAAGACAAAAGTGCAAGTGGGACAGTTAACAATGAAAAATAATCAGAAGTAGGATGCAAACAAAGAATACGTGTTTAACAAATCTGCATTTTAAGGAAGATGCATGAGTTTCAATAAATGTTATTTTAGCCCTCTCTTCACTTAATCGTTTAAACATTTAAGCTATTAAGTGGAAGGCACAGGCTGTAATGGAAAGTTTCCTGAAACTGTAAGGAACTCATAAGAGGATTAGCCTCAACCTGGGGCTGTGCTCTCATTAGAGTGCCGCCAGTATCCATTTGGATACAGCCACGTCTTTCTACATGAATGACCCAAGACTTAGGTTTACAATATTTATCAACAGTGCATAACACCCGGACGACTCAAAATTACCAAGGCAGCAGTTTCATGGCAGCTAAGGAAATGTGACAAAAACACAATAAAAACATTCAGCTGAATTTGCAGTTGCATTATAATAATAATTCCTGCCACATACAGTACAGTATATAGCGCTTCTCTGGACACTCCACTCAAAGCGCTTTACAGGTAATGGGGACTCCCCTCCTCCACCACCAATGTGCATCCACCTGGATGATGCGACGGCAGCCAAAGTGCACCAGTACTCTCACCACACATCAGTGGGGAGGAGAACAGAGTGATGAAGCTAATTCATAGATGGGGATTATGAGGAGTCCATGATTGGTAAAGGCCAATGGAAATTTTGGCCAGGACAGCAGGGTAACACCCTTACTCTTTTTGGGAAATGCTGTGAGAAATTTAAGAAATTTGTAATGACCGCGCAGAGTCAGATCCTCAGTTTTTCATCTCATCCAAAGGATGGTGCCTTTTTACAGTGAAGTGTCCCCATCACTATACTGGGACATTATGACCCGACATATCCGACTGTGGGACACATAGACTGCAGGGTGAGCGCCGCCTACTGACCCCACTAACACCACTTCCAGCAGTAACTTTGGTTTTTTCCAGGAGGTTTCACATTCAGGTACTGACCAGGCTCACACCTGTTTAGCTTCAATGGGTTGCCTGTTATGAGCTGTAGGGTGATATGGCTGATGGCCATATAAGCAACAGATAAAAAATGTTCATCCAAAAGGCCAATGGGGCTTTTGATCTTAAATTGGATGGACAGGGAAAGAAACAAAGAGATACAAAAAGAATAAAAAAGTTGTGTTGGTCCAGACTGACATTTAAGACATACATATGTTTATTAGATCAACCTGTTCTCAGATGTTATTCATTTTGTGTCCAGTACTGACAATTATAACAGGATTTTCATATGTGTCTGAGCAGCATAAACCAGCAAAGGTGACTCTTTGGAGCAGACATTGGGGTCTTAATAAGACACTGGTTTTTGAAGACGTTCAAGTAGGTAGCTGCATGCACAGGCTGCAAAGGAACATGAAAAAGGTTCATTCCATGCTGAAAGGTAAGGAAAGAAAACCTAAAGAATGCTCCACATCCAAAACATTGTGTTTCTTCCCTTTCAGCATGGTATTAATCTTTACTGGTTTCTGAAGTCTTGTTAACTAACTACTGTATGATGGGGACTTCACAAGATGTGGTGCAAAGGTTTTCCAAGTGCAATAATGCTTAGTTCGGATTTAGTTGGTCAGTGTTGGGGTTGTTGGGCAGCTGTGAGCTTACAGTGCTATGAGCAAGAGAAGTATCACTCCCTCAGTCAGTTCTAACCGTGTTGTGGTCACTGTAGATATTGTACTGGGAAAAGTGACAGAGAGGTTTGATAGCGCACATCAATCACAGAAATGTAAGTGCAGTCCTCATCTGTCCTGTACTGATATTCCAAGCTAGAGAGAAGATGAGCTGGTATAAAAGAAAGAAATGTTGATTCTTTTATGTGATATACAGTAGGATATGGTTATTATAAATGATAAACAAGTGAAATAATGTGAAAAAACAAATGTAGAGCATATTGAATATTATTCACCCATGTGAAACATTACAACTTAATGCTGATCTGATCTTCAGAGAAAACACAGACGTAATTGTTAAGTGACACCTGTGAAATGTAAGATTTATGTGATACGGTAAGAACTCCAGTGTTTAGATACAAAAATGTGCATTGTAAGGTGAAATAAAATCTTGTGAGATAATTTCTATGATACATTAGTTGTGTAAAATTTAATGTTACACAATAGACTATTACAGTTTAATACAATTTAAAAAATAATTTGTCGAAAGAGCTACAGTACATGGAACATGATACCAACATTCACTTACTATATGGGTTTATATGAAGAACAGAGTTCTGTGTTAGAAGACCAGATTTAATTTTTTAATTATCTAAAATAATGTCATTATCTACCAGAACATCAACAGGCTTAAATTTGGACTTAATCAGATTTTTAGCAGCACAGTTACATAACATAAACCAATACAGTGATACATTCTAAGTCTACAATTTATTTTACCTTCCATTTTAAAAGGGTGCACTTTACAGCTCCTTTAAAATACCACTTGAAACTTGTACTCTAATGCTAAATATGATCCAGACTCTCTTTTGAGTCCTACATATTCAGGATAATATTGGGGTATATTTACAAAAGCTAGGCAAACACAGCTACTTCAATTAAATAAGAAATAGTTTAAATCTGAAACTGTACATTGCCCTGTGATGGACTGGTGTCCTGTCCAGGGTGTAGTCCTGCCCTGGTCTTATGTTTCCAGGTTTCTGCAACCTTACAGAGTACCGTTACCATAACTATGCCCCTTACCCTTTCAGAGTACCAGATAAGCTTAATGTGTCTTGGGAAATATACAGATAACATCAAACACTGGAGTCAGATGATTAATTAATTGTGAATTTTAGTGCAATTTAAACAAACAGCAATCGTGGATTCCTGAAGCAAATACCTCTCTCTCTCTTACTGTTTTTCACATGCTTAACAGGCTTGGCAAGCTCCTCTATCTGAGCAAGACTACCATGCAGTACCCATCTGGGAAATTCATTGACATAAGCTGTGCCAACAAGAATGGAGAGTTCATGCAGCAAAACTCCAGCCAGCTTTTTGTTACATGATCTGAAACACAACTGTATGCTTCTAATAATAGCTAAGAATATAATATCAATTTCATTGTGACGCTATGCGCACCATCCAAGATGACTCTGCCCTCAGAAAACTGCAGCACGAAGAGGCCCAACAAATCATTTCAAAAATTCAAAACGGAACTTAAACATCCTAAACGGAAAAAATGAATTAAGCCTTCCTTTTTAGTCACTGGCACAGAGCAAAATCACCAACGGCACTAACCCCGTCTGAATGGCATTGACATTTTTTTACCTTTTAATTTCTGGATTTAGCTACTGATCAAGGAATATATTGTTCAGCACAAACCAGGATGTTTTTCCACAGGTATGGACAGTGGTCATATAGCTTGTCTAATCCTGCATATAAGATTAGAGCTCTAGATGTGTTCAAAGCAAAGCACTATACTAACTTGCTAAATCCATCGATTAAGGGTACAGATATACATCTTCTACACAGAAGAAGGAAGAGATAATTGTCTCTGTCCCTGCTTTAAATCCTGAAAATGCCTAAGAACACATTCTCTCACTGACCTTTAAAAGTTTAGCTTTAGGACAGCCAGAGGAAGAGCCAATAAGTACATCAAAAATCTCATAAAGCAGGTGCTAACACATTAGTTCTGCCTAATTTCAGGTGCTGTTTACTGAGCTAACAAATATTTCAAGTGAGCATTGCTATGTAATGTGTTCATTCAGAATGGAAATGAGGACCAGGTGACATCTATTTGACAAACGTGTGTTTTGAAAAACAGTCTCAAGCAGTTCCAAATTGGCATTCTGCTTTTCAAACGTCTACAATCATACGAATGATGACAAAAACAGTTGCATGTTTATGGCCAGCGGCCTTAACTTCACCCTTGAATTCACAACTGATAACCCACTGAAGCTAGGCAGGTGTGAGCCTGGTCAGTACCTGGATGAGAGACCTCCTGGGAAAAAACAATGTTGCTACTGGAAGAGGTGTTAGTGGGGCAGGCATGGGTCCTCATGCCCCAGCATAGTGACAGGGACACTATATTGTAAAACATAGTTTTATAGTTGAGCAAAGGTTTTGTGATCTTTTTAATAAATACAAATATCCCTTTTCCAGTTGTCTGAAAGAAGACGTCTAAGATACTGTAAGTCATAGAGTTACTATAGCAAATTTAATGTGAATTTTTACGGATCTGTTTTTTTTTTTTTCGTTTGTGTGCCAAGAAGTAGTTATTAGACCTGGCAAGGTGGGTGATGATTCAACGCTACATCTTACATTTA